ACACACCATTCAAAAGAGACCATAAAAAAGCTAAGAAGGAAACAAAAAGACCAGAACACATTCTCTCCAGCAGCCAATACCCAGATAAACAGGGATTAACACCAGACAAACAATGAAGCAGAAAACAGTACCCTAATCAAGGAGCTACCAAGGAGAAAACCACACCCCCACCAACGCTGGCAGGGCAAGCTACTGTATATAAATAGGGAGCAAACCTCACACTCACTTGCACTGATGATGTTACCTAGTTGGGTAATGAAACATCTGCAAGCAAACAACCAAGATCAGAAAGTACCAAGGACTCCACAATTCAACCCTGAGCTATAGATATTCTCTTCTACTGCAACTGCCCTGGGATTTCTATGGTGTCTCATCAAAATATTAACCTAGCCCAATCCTGCTTAATTTTGAGGATGTGCTTCCAGGATACACAGGGACTCCAATCACTTTGCTCCTTTCCCAGAATCCCCTTTGATTGTGTCAACAAATGTTAGTCATGCAGTTCCTTGATATTTGGAGATGGGAAACAGAAAATGTTTGTGTAAGCCCTTAAAATAACTTGACCTGTTTGTTTCTTCCACTGCAGACATAGCCCTTCTACCATATATTAAATGCATTCCTACACCTGATTTGCTGAGTTATTACACTTTTGAAAAATTGTTGTATAAGAGATTCAATTTCTACTTGCAGTCTTCCAAGACAAGCAAAAATCATAGTTAAATTCTAGAAAAAAAACCATTCCTCTCCCATTCACCCTTCTATCTTTGAACCCAGTTTCACCGTACATCTAAATTGCCTTTCCTAGTCTGATGTCCTCCTGACATACTGGACTACAGCTCCTCTTGTCCCCACTGGAAAGGATTAAGGACGATGGCAGTTCCCATCTAGAGGGCAACAGATTAAGGAGTGCTAATCTAATATGTAATTTGCAGATGGTTCAGCATACCTACATGTTCATGCCTTTTCTTCAAGGTTATCAATTTTCTGAAAGAATCACAAAACAAATTATTTCAATTTGTTATTTTCACAGAGAGAGAGAGAGAGAGAGAGAGAGAGATAGATAATAATGTGTTAAGAAATGCAGACTGTGCTGGGAAAAAAACATCCAGAGACTTCTCAGTTCTTCAGTGGAAAAGAGAGCTCAGTTTCAAAATCACAGTTTGGCTTTCATGTGAGTTGAAGGAAGATACATTTCTGGGGAAAGATTAGACTATCTTTGCATAAATACATTCTGAAGGTTCTGGAGGATAGATAAAACCAAGCAAAACAAGCTGAACAAGAGTAATTTGCCCTATTCAACTTAGGTGCAAGGGAACAGATGGAATGTTTCATATTAACAAATACTTGGCTTCTAAATGACAAAAATAACAAAATCTGCCATTCCTTTCTGATTTAGTTTAGTCCCTTCCAATCCTTCCCTTCCTTTGGAAGAAGCAAGCATTTTAGATTATAGCAGGAGAGCCACTTTAATTATACACTTGTTTGCATCTTCAAATGAGGGATGTTTTTCTATATCCCACCTATGATATACTACCCAATCAACTGTCCAGGCTAAAGCATCTCTTTCTGAAAGGAGTCTCCTAGAAACACTTCCTGTGCAGCAAAAGTGCGTAAGATAACTACTTTTCCATTTAATAATTTTCCTCTTCCCTCACATTAATAATAACAATCTGATAGCAACCTATGCAGTTTTCTGGGGGCCACACATGGCTTCAAATTGTGCGCTTTTGCTTTGAAAACAGTTCTGGAGCACCATGAAAAAATAATGGCATGATTCTAAGAGTAACTCTCTATGCTCACTTAACTAAATATATGCCTCTGAGTAACATAAATACAGGAAGGTGAGACCATTTACTCAGAAGTCTACCTGACTCTGATGTTACCAAAAATATGAAATTAGAACAAATAGAATTGATGGAGAAAACTGGTTTTAAAATACTTGGGTACTATGACAAATATGAATTGTT